TTGTTTGCATAAATCCTGGGTCCCAAAAAACCAAATAATGAACAATGTGTATTCACGTGAATGTTTTCTAACAAACATTCACGTTGAGCTTCCACTCTCTTGCTTTAGACTAGGGTTTTTCCATAACTTCGATAAAATTAAAATATAATATTTAAAATAATTAATTGGGAGTTTACCAATTTATTTATTTATTAATTAATTGCACAATAATTACAAAGCTTCACAAGTAAAGAGGACGTGATAGTATAGTATCATAGATTTTATTTTAAAGTCCTTTTATTTTATAGTCAACCAATCACAGATTTTGGCGGCAGTCAACACTTTTGCTATACATATATATATATATATATTAGTATTATTATTTCAATAATTCATATGAACATTTTACATGGAGCAGCCCAAGAGCATTTTATAATCCAAAATTAAATATTCCCAACTTAGTCCAAGGTTATTAAAAGTGTTCGAAGCTTTGGGTGGTTGAGAGTTTATTTTGATTATCATATTATTATGTAATTTTTTTCTGGGATTATTTTGTAGACCCCCTCATTTCCAAATTATATAGAACTAACTACCAAGTGGATTACACTCTAGGTGAAACCCCCCTCATTTCGAAAATATTTTGACATACCCCCCTGGGCTACCCTGAAGTTCCTATAATACCCTTCTAAAATCAGTTTTAACCCTAGCCACTCACGATCTCTCTCTTCTTCTCCCAGATTCAAAATCCCGCCTCTACAAACCTCTCACCGGCGAAATTGCTTCCCGGAGCCATAACTCTCTCTCCGGTGGTCGGAATTCGATGGTTTAACTACCGTTGGATTCCTCTCGTCGAGCTCTTTCTTTTGGTGGTGATTTCATTCAGTTTCAAGCGCGGATCTGTTTCTGCAATTTTTTTTCATTCGAGGACGGTGGTCTTGCCGGAGCTTTTTTTTGTGTTCCACCCGTCGAAATTTGACGGGTCATCCACCGTTGGATTCCTCTCGTCGGGATCTATATTTTGATGGTAATTTCGTTAATTTTTATCTTTTCAGATTTATTTCTATATTTTTTTGCATTTCCCAGCAATAACCTCTCTCTCTATCTCTCGATCTCTTAATGTTTGGTGATTTTTGAGTGTTTTGATGTTTTTATTCAAATTTGTTGATTTGCACTAAAGTAATTTCTTTTTGTTTTGATTTTTCAATTGCAGCTTAATGAAGGCCATAGATCCTTTCCTTGAAGGTGTCAATTTTTTGTTTTTTTAAGTTACATCAGATCTGTTCAACAGACTGTATACATTACTATACATTACTATAGTAACATGTAGTTACATGTAGTTAGATATGCGTATATTTATGTATTTTCGATTTGTATTTTATTGGTTCTGATGTGATTTAATAATAAAAATATTTAAATTTTGTAAATTTTTGTTGGGGTTTTATGAATTTATTTTGTATAAGTCAGTATTCGTGTGTGTATACGTATAATTGATCGACTAAAAATATGGGGAAAAAACGAACATAACTATGAATTACTATAGGTACTATAGTTACATGTAGTTATTTTCAGTACTGTAAACATATTGTTTTGAAAATTAAAAAAAAATAAAAAAATAAATAAATAAATAAAAAAAAATAAAAAATATTTTATTTATAAAAAAAATTAAAAAATTAAAAAAATAAATAAATAAATATATATATATATATATATATATATATATATATATATATATATATTTATTTAACAAACAGATTTATAAAAAAAAAAAAGAAAAAAAATTAATAATAAATAAATCAGCGAAAATGATAAATGCAGGACCATAAATGCTGAATGCAGTTTGGCCGAAAATTGCACATAAGGGTAGTATAGCACTTTCGCTTCCCCAGGGGGTATGTCAAAGGATGATTTGGGCTTGGGTTTATCCCTAGTTTATTTGGTGGCTAGGGGTATGTAAAATAACCCCTTTTTTTTTTCTGTTGAGTTAAAAAAAATTAATATAAAATAAATAACCTTTTCAAATATACTTAAATTTATACATACATACATTATACATACAAGCCACTCTAATTAATTAATTATAGACAATAGACAAGCTGCAGGTAATTAAAACCATATATAATAAACTAACAGTACTCCGATTAAGAAATGCTTAATTACTAAACCAAAGTATTTTACTAAATTAACCTCATCCCTTAATTATCAATAATATTAAATATAGTTAATTAAAACCTGCTGATCTCTCAACCCATTATAAGTAAGACACTAGTCTATTCTATATAAGCACCAACTTTTTTTTCTAACCAACAATCACTTTTCAGTGCAACAATCTACTACAACAACTTTTTCTCTCATCTTTTTTTTTTTGAAGAAAAAAAAAGAAAAAAGAAAAATGGGTAGCGGAAGTTCGCCGTGCGCCTCATGCAAACTACTCCGGCGGCGGTGCGCGAAGGACTGCATATTCGCGCCGTATTTCCCCTCCGACGACCCTCACAAGTTCGCCATTGTTCATAAGGTTTTCGGTGCTAGCAACGTGAGCAAAATGTTGCAGGTAATTAATTAATTTTTCTATTATTAATTAATTAATTACAATTTAATTCAATGAAATAAAATAAAATAGTATTAATAATTAATATAATACGTGTATATATAGGAGCTTCCGGTGCATCAAAGAGGCGATACGGTGAGTAGCCTAGTGTACGAGGCGAATGCTAGAGCGAGAGATCCGGTGTACGGTTGCGTAGGGGCGATATCGTACTTACAGAACCAAGTGGCTCAGCTCCAGATGCAGCTGGCTATGGCTCAAGCCGAGATGCTTTGCATTCAGATGCAGGCGCAGGCGCAGGAGCAAAACCATCATAATCAGAGTATTAATCAGCTGCAGCTGCATCAGGCGCCGCTGTTGCTGCTTGATCAGACGGCTGATATTGATGTTGGTGATGACAAGTCAACGTCGTCGTTTTACCTGCAGAATCATCATCAGCTGCTCAACTTCGCGGCGGCGAATTCTAATATTAACGCTAATACTAATAATAATAATGTGATTTATGATTCTTTTAAGAAAGAATCGCTGTATGGTTATGATATGGTTTCTTAATTTAATAAATTAATTTTGGAGGTTTGATTTCGTTAATTAATTCTCATTTAATTTATTACTTGTTTTTGTAATTATATATGCCCTATTCTTTTTTATCAACTCCTAATTACTATATTTTAATGCAATTATATTATCAAATTAAAGGCAAAATATAACCATGAATAAAAGAGAAAAAAAGTTTTTGGGTCGGAGAGCAACTTAAAAAAGACAAATTAATTATTTAAATATTGGTAATTAATTAGAAGAAGTGTAACTATAGTATGAAAACAAGGATGAGATGATAAGTCAACCTAGCTACCCTGCCATGTGGGATTGAGGGACAGTTAAAAAAAAAAAAAAAACAAACACACACACACAACAATCGAAATATTCGGAACTAAAATGGGATCAGAAATTGGAATTTCCGGTTATTTTAAACATAATTCCAATTCCGTTCCAAAAGAATATCGAACAAATTAAATCAGAAATCGGAACTTCGAGAATCGGAATGAAAAATATTGTTCCAAATTAGGATATTTCCGGATCAGAATTAACGGGATTAGAAACTTCAATTCCATTTGCCACCCCTAACCGTGATCGATCGACCATTTTCTGAGTAGTTTACGATTAATTAGTTAATCATTCCTGAAGCGGGACTATAGTTCAAATAATAATAACATAAAACATAAGGATTTCAATTAAAACCAATATAAAAGTGAATTATGATGAAATTTAAATTGTTTTGGGTCTCTTCTCTAAAATAAAAAAAAAAATCCATTTTTTAATTATATAATATTATATGTACTATATACTGCAACGTGATAACCAGTCTTTGAAAATAGATTGTTGATTGTTCACGTGCTACAAAGTGGTCAGTTCGTGCATGAACTAAAACCCCAAACAATACCTACTTGAATAATAACTAATTATAATAATATTTAATATTTACTATAAAATATACTACATGCCGATTAATTAAATGATTTCAGACCTATATTCATCTGCTTCTTCAATTACACGTCCAATCAGCTGCAAATTAAATTGCTATAAAAAAACAACTTAGACAACAACTTAATAAGTTCAATATTTCTCATTTGCTTTGTCTCATATGTAGAATTGTTTTTTCTAATTAAGTCAAACAAATGCAACTTTATATGTTGTCCCAACTTAATTTGTCACTTCGAAATTTATTTATTTCATTTTTTTATTTTTATAACTTTAACTGATATCTTACTATTATTGTCTGATTACTAATTAGTTATGCTACTGTTGAATTCCACTAGCCATATATATAACCATTCATAGGTTTCTATATTTATGAATTAAAACCCGCAAATAATTTTGTTTTGGTATGTTGCATTTGTCATGTCCATGAAGTGTAACTATTTCTTATATATATATATATATATATATATATATATATATATATATATATATATATATATATATATATATATATATATATATATATATATGAAAGATGAGTGGGAACCTATTTCTTTTTTGAGGGCTCGAGGCCTATATGCTTCCAAATTTGGTTCTACCGTTGGTTTTTTGTTTCAAATCTTATTCCCACTTTTCTCTCTCCTTTTCTTTTTCTTGTTTCATAAATATATATTATATGTAAATATATATATGGTAAATTACGAAACCCTCCCTAAAGTTAGGTTACATTATTAAAGCCCGTATGGGTGTAGCTCAACTGGTTCCGGAGGTGGTAAGTTGGTGCAAGGTCCTAGGATCGAATCCTGGCAGTCGCAGTGTGAGAATTTCAACTCCAATGAGGGTTGGTTCCTTGTGGGCACCAGGTCCGGGTCCGCTACCTTAACGGGCCGTAGAGTTACCATAATTTACATTCCTCCATCAATCCTTGTCGGGCCAAGGGATAGGGGCCCTGGGGGCGAGGGATTTCGCTTTTTTGGAAACACTCTCGCATATATAGTTTATTGATATTAATTTTTTTTGGATAGATTTACCATATTGACAAATGTTAGGTTGAAATTAGACAAAAAAGTCACTGTAATAACTAATAAGTACTCAATTGCTTCTCATCAATGGCTTTTGTTTAACTAAGAACACACTGTCATAGTACAAATTCTCACAACATTTAAAAAATAAATACAAATATAACAATGAATTTGACAGAATAATTAATAAGATGTAATAATAATAATTACGAACCCTCAACTTTCACTAGAAAGAAAGGCGATTCTTCGAGCTTCTGGCGATCCCCATCAGGACCACACACTTGTATCTGAAATTTCAGACCGGAAGTTCCGGAAGGAACTTCCAGGTCAGAAACGTAGAACGTTTTTACTACCGCCTCACCAATAAACTCGCTATCTTGATTTTCGGACGACGAACTAGTAACCTTGTCCACGTACACATTGTACTTCGGAAAAATATCACCATCCCCAATCTTGAGTTGCCAAACAATTTTGACACTCAGTTTTTTCGACCCTTTCGAATCCAAACTCCAACTGACGAATTCACCCCCAACGAGCCATGAATCAGATGGCGGGAAATTCGAATTATCCCCGCCACTAAAAATCTTAATATCTCCAAGCACTGCATTGTACTCTGAGGGACCACGAAAAGGGGTTTTATCAGCCGCAACTGCGGGAGATTTCTCCAGCTTCAATTTGTAGCACACAGCTCGAATTTCTTTCAACGTGTGTCCAGACATTTCGATGCTGCTTTCTTGTAGGACCCACCCAGATTCTTCACCCTCTTTTGTTACGCCACGTGGCATTATCACATTGGTGTAGTATCTCGAGAACTGGTTCATTGTTAGCAAGTTATTTCCAGAGGCAGCGAGAAAAACTGCCTTTGTTTCTTTTGTGGGCGAAGAGAACTCGAGCGCAAGACCTAACAGAGAGTTCCCACTTGATTTAACCTACATTAAATCAAAAAATGGCAACTTCAGTAATCGAATTCATAAATGTACAACAGGTAAAGAATATTTAATTTAATTTATTTCCCGAGTTTTGAGGCTTACGGAATATTTAAAGTGAATTGATGAGTTACTCAAAAGAAGCTCCCCTCGAAAGAGCCTTGCTGTAAATTCAGCACCGTTATCGAGATTTCCTGTAAATGTGATGTTTCCTCCTCCATTGAAAGATGCTCCCTTCAAACTGTAAACGAGGATTCGCATACATCACTCTAAATAATGTTGTTATACGCAATGTTTTTAAGGAACTAATTAAATACTTAATAATTAGGTAACTCACTCGATGGAAACTTGGATTGGCTGAGTGGTAGAGTCTCCGGAGTATTCTATACAAGGCTGTAAGAAAGTGTACGAGTTAGGACAACCGTAAAAGCCTATTAATTCTGAATTTTCGATACTTTATTTTTCTTTTGAAAAATGCAATAACTGGGTATAAAAAAAATAACTGTCGACTCGTTTAAATCTGTGAGCAGGCACACCTGAAAGCTTTGGGATGAAAGGTTGTTCCAAGAAGTTTGAGAGACTTGATTTCCATTGCTGTATATGTGGAAACCGTGACCCTGGGGAATAATTAGATACCGTAAATGAATTCGGCTTTCATTGAAAAATAAATATAACATCGAACCTATATATATACCTACCAAGAGAATAGATAATCAAATGGAAAAGGAAGAATGTAGTTCACGTAACATTTTATGGTAGGTACCTGATCGAAATCTGAGTAGAACGGAAGTGCTTTGGGATAGTTCTGTACAATTCCCCATGATTTTTCGACAAGTCCCCACCATCTGTTTGTTTAATCCATGAACATTAGTGGAGATCAAGAAAATTCAAATTTAGAGGAAAAGTCACTAAATGAAAAGTCAAGTCGATGGATTAAAAGAATCGTTGATCACAAAACAGAGCAAATATCATCAAGAATGAACTTTACCAAACTTTATCTTAGCCATGAGAACTTTTAAATAACAGAAGTTATGTAAGTATAGGAAAATCGTGCATCACCGATTTTGAGCAGTTTGGAAGTCGGGTGGTTGTTTAGTTTCATAGACCCATCCAGGTGCAAATATGGCTGCTGAAACATCGTTTTTCTTTATCACATCAAGGGCAACATTTGTCTGCACAAATAAAAAAAATATTTTAAATTATTATCCTTCCATACGACAAAAAAAGAAAACAAGGGTCTAGAAAACATATGCAAGGGGTTATATAGAACTTGAAGAAATTAATTATTACAAAAAATTACAAGATTTTTCATCTTAAAAAAGACGAGATTATGCGTTGAAACTTACTGTCCATTCTCCATCGCCATAAGTGCCCCTTCCGAACACATCAATGCCCATGTAAACGTCAAATTTTCTATCAGCAGCAACATCAGCTGATAGCTTAGGAAAATTTTCCTGGATTATACATACAGGAAAAAAAAAAAAAAAAATCAAAAGATCAAAAGAGATAATAACTATGCATTTTGCAAAATATAAAGAAATGACGTACCTCCCACGAGTAGTTCACAAATATACCATCGCAAAGGTCAAAGAAAGTCTTGTTTTTGTCATTTAATTGATTCTGCCAGCTAAGATCACCGTCGACAGTAACACTGTCGTACCTGAACAGTCACATTTGCACATCACATTTTTTCGGTTATTGCAAAATCAAAATTGGAAACACATTGTACATACGATTTTCTCTACTAAAGTATAGTAAATACCATATAACCAAAGATCCAGGTAGTTTCGAGTGCATGGTCTCGCTTAAATGGCCAACAAATGCTTTCAGATTAGGGATTTGTCCAACATCCAAATTCACTTCCATGTTGATCTGCCAATAAAAAGGGACCCCAAAATAAAATCTTTCGGATAAACACTGTCATTAATTTCACTTATAGAAGCATTAGGAAATCATTTTATTTAATCATCACAAAGAATTTTTTCGATTATCATTTGAATGATTCGTGAACTAATTGATTCAAATGAAACTGTATAACTCTAATCAAGCCCAACGAATTTAACTGCAGGCATTAATTTTTATATAATTTACTGAAACAACGACTTACTTCTAGCACTAAATCACATCAACACAGTTGAATTATTAAAATAGAGAAAATGAACTAAATATCGAAATCGAATATACGAAAAACGAATACAAGCTTTTACCAGCCAACCATCGAAACCTAGAGCAACAGCAAGCTCCGCTAGCCGCTCGGCGTACATTTCAGCGGACTCCTTTGTGGTCAGCAATTCATCAGCACGTTTTTTCCCTTCATCCCACTCCATGATGAAAGTTCCTAATACCTTCATTTAGTAAGAATACAATCATTAATTAATCACAGTTAAGATTGCAAATTAATCATTTACTTATTGTTATCACCCTTTGTGCAGTAATCATGATAAACTTTCACAAAAGTAAAATCCTAATTATTATGAGCAAAACAATAATACCTTAACACCGTGTCTATGGGCGGTATTAGTCCAGCACGGCGGCGGCAGAGTCACCAGATTATGCGAAAAGTAGACGAAAACATCAATCAAATACCAGTGCCATATCGCATACGCATCGCCGTTCGTCCCTCCCTGCACAAATTTATCATCCGTGTACCCTCCCGCCATGTCGTGGCAGACCAGAATCCGCGGCCGCTGCGGCAGGTCAACGCCGCCGCCGTCGCCGCCGGCGGCGGCGTGTGGAAGCTTCACCGGGGATTGATTGAACGGGTAGTGAAACGAGTTGAAGTAGGCGCGGGACTCCAATTGCTCGAGCGTCTGGAGTGGGTACGAGATAGGAACGGCGGGTATTGAGGGATCGAACGGCGGCGGTGCCGGTGGATCGTCGCCGGCGGTGGGGTTTTCCATAATTGAGGAGAGGAACGAGTGGAGGTACTTCAAGGCGGAGAAGGTTCTGGGGTGGTGGGTTTTTATATAGGCGAGGAGAGGCATCTGGGGTTCGGAGGAGACGAGACTCCATTGGAGTTGACTCGAATCAAATCGGAAGGTACGATACGAATGAATGAATGAATGATGTCACCTTTTTTTACTGTTTTTTCTTTGCCTTTTTTCTATTGGAGTGGCCATAGCATTCACAGGCTTTTGCCAGATTTATTCGCTAATTAATATTCATTTAAATCTCTTCCCACGTGAAATGAATATTATAATATTTTTAAAGGGTATAAAAATTAAAAAAGTTAATTTCGAGGGAGCGTTCCATAATATCATTTTGCATTTTTTTTGTTATAATTTAATATTTATCGTACTTAATATTAATTTATGATACAAAATATATTTGTATTCAATGATTGGGCATGCATGCGGAAGCTAAGATTTACTTGATTACCCGTGTAATTAAGATACATTAACTAAGGTAAATAGCATTTACCACCCCTCTGATATGAGTTTTGTACACATAACCACTGTGTACTTTCAATATAGCACATAACCCTATTGTATTTTTTAATATAAGCGCTGATTATTTACCAAGTGGAATACGATATGGGGGTTATGTGCTTATATTAAAAGTACAAGGTGATTACGTGCACAAAGTTCAAACTAAAGGGGAGTTATGTGCATATATTGAAAGTATGAGGGGTTATGTGCATAAAGCTCAAACCAGAGGGGTTTAAGTGATAATTACCCAATTAATTATCAGCCCAATATGAAGTCCATCAAATATTGGGCTGATTGACTATTGGGCCTCTAAATTTCTCCGCCATTTAAGGCCTGCATTACATTCTCGAAGAAACCGTTTTCGTATGAAATTCCTGCAAATTATTGAGTTCACAGCGATTCAATTAACTCTGCAAATGTACGAGTTGTTGGGTTGGGCGTGAGATTTCTGGAGAAGAAATGAAAATTGGTAGCATTTCTCTGAGCTCACAATTCGTTATTCTGGTATCGGCGGTAACGATTCTCCACCGAGTCAGTTGCGACTCGGTGTCTGGTTTGTGCGAACTCAGCGTCAAGGACAAGAACAAGGTCTACTACTATAGCTTGAAGTCTCCGCTGCGCAACTTTCCCCATGGAATCCTCAGCGAAGATGGGTAATTTTTCTCAATTCTACGCTGCTTCTAATTTGTTTAGTTATGTGAAATTTTAAGCGCGATTGGGTTTTAAAAAATATTGGAGTATGAAATCTAGGTGAAAGTATATCCAATGGGGATTTACGATCATGGATGATCATCATAATGTAGTGAAATAATAATGGCGTACTGCTACAATGGAGAATCGCCATTGAATTGCACAAATAAGGGTTTTCAGATGAATATATTAATTAATACTTTCGTTTTTGTGTTGTTTTGCCATGGTGGCATTTAATTTTAGGTTTTATAAAGTGGCTGCTAATGGGAGCAAGCTTTGGTTTCAGGTTTGCTCTATCAGGTTACTATATTGTATTCCTTTTTTTCTATATATACTCACATTATGTTTTGGCACACAGTGATTGTTGGATTATTTCTGCCATTAATTCTTGAATTCATGTCGCTGTTGGCGAAATAGCTGATGTGAAATGAGCTGAACAATTCTTGTTTTCAAGTTGAGTTGAGATCAGTAATTTTTTTACTGTGTTGTAATTTTCGTTTTGTGATTTGGAGCAGCTTTGCGGTTCGATGATATTCAACCATGATCCTCCTACGTGTGTTGACTGTAAGGTGATGACTCCCATAAAGCAGTACCGTTTTTCTCTGTTTTTGGATAATCATTATATATTTCTTCTCGTGCTGACAATTTTAGGAGGTAGATGACGAGCTTTTCCTGACCTTATATATACCACTCTTTTGCGCACAGTTGCACTGTGTCCTTTTTTGTTTCTTAAGATACTATGTTCATCATACCAACTATGGTACATTGTATGAGATTTTTTGATGCAACTTGTACGAGTTGATTAACAACAATATTAGGGGGTGGCGGGAACAATTTTCAACTAATATTTATTTTTATCAAAGGAAATATTACTGTTCTCCTGGCACCTTATTGATTCTAGTCGTATCATCTGTTGATCTTTATGAACTACTTTAGTTAATTTGTTCCCTAAAAACTGGGAGCCTTAATAATCTTTTAATGGGCAAATGGATCGATAAAGGTTTGAATACTAATTACTGGCTTTTACATTCTTTACATACGTAGGACTGTGGTGGTTCATCACGCTGTGGTATGGGCTGCAGTGCACTTATCTCTAACAGAATAGAAGGTAACTACTTCCAATATTATTACATTCATTCAGCTGATTTACTTGTTGTCAAAGTTTATATTGATGGTTTTTGAGATAGTTAGAACTGGATGGATTAGACTTCTGTACTCCATAAAGATGCCACCCATACTTGCAGTACCCTTAAGAAGTGAAATTTTGAAAGCGTTTAGTAATGTACAACTTCTGCTTGATAAAATTAAAGTTAGAGTATTGTACTTATGGTTTGACACCTGCCATAACCACCATAATTCTTCATCTTTAGTTAGAATTGTAAAATTATAAAATGGCTCGTCACGTCATTATGTTATTTCAGATTAGTAATTTATCCTCATAAAAGGAGATAGATACAATACTGGTAGAAAAGACATTAAGCAAAAATTGAAACGATTGACCAGACGTGAGCTTATTGCTTACTGTAAATAAGTATCAAAATTTGTTGTGCAGGTTATCCTGTTTGTACAACACTTGGTCAGCCTTCAAGCACATCTATTGATGTCCTTGGTAAGTTCTCCTAAATTCTAATGAGAAAATGTGTGCGACAAGTCTGCTTTGATGGGATGGTTTTCTAGCCTTTTTGCATCATGATTGCGGTTCTGCTTCCCTGTCTCTTCAGAGGTTACATATATTTATTGCATCTGCTCATATGTTGCAGATATAAAAGATCCTCGTATGGGAATCATTGTTAAGATGACAAACAGTGGCCCAAAGCGTAATTGTTCACTCTCTGTGTCAGTTATATGTAATTCAAATGGCGTCCAAGTACGATGTTTTTTATACTATGATATAGTGAATTGATCTGGTTTCCTTGTTGTCACACCAAACTGATATTTGATTGTGACTCAAAAATTTCAGGGGCCTCAGAAATTGGAGACTAATGGGACCTGTGATTATGTAAGTCTTGAATTCTTGTGCAGTCTCACTCTCATATAGCAATATAGTCGTTTCTGACTAACCTATCCCCTTCTATGTATAGTAGCTTAGATAGCGAGAAAGTTCCAAATAGCTCAGCCATTTTGGTCTCTCACGTAGAATGCTCTATATTGATTATTGATAATGATGTGGCCAATTGCTTAATACTGACTGGCTAATAAGATAAGAACTGCTTACGAGTTCTATTGCACTTAGTCTGTTTTATTGGCTAATCGTGATTGATAGTGCAGATAAATGCTATGCTCTTATATCTTGTTTTTGACAGATTACATTTGATGAAATACTTTATTTAATTTCTGGTTCTCAATCTTTTTCTGAGCATATTAAATATAAATCTTACATCGATGTTGTGTATAGAATTCAGAGGCTGGGTGACATAGGATCAAAAGGGTATCTAGAGATCACTGGTGGTGCCCTAAAGGCATAATACATGACGTAGGATTAACAAAATTAATGTTTATTAGAGTTTAATAAATACAGACCTGCAGCTAATTCTACTAATTTCAACTAGAGATATTAAGATATCTCTTGCTGCAAAAGGACTTACATGTGATGTGAAATTCTCTAATTATTGCTTACTTCGACTAAAAAATTCAAACTAAGCAGGACAACTGAAAAATATGAATTTAAAAAATTAAGATTTCTTTGTTGAAGATTGTTTAAAGAAAATCAACTACTAATCCTCCGAAATCCTAAATCATTGAAGAATCAAATATTTTGAGCCTTGGAAGAGTAGTTGCCACGTCAATTGCAAACTTTATAGGTTTTTGGAGCATGTAGAGCATCTTCATTCACAAGAAAACTCTTGTATCTGTTCAGTGAGAATAGTATCTCAGAAGTGGTCCGTTTTAAACCAAAGGTATTGAGGTGCATGATGCTCCTTCGTAACCTCACCCTTGTACAGGGACGCATATGCAAAACAAAAGATAGCTTCTATATCATTGCGTTTTTCTGCTGCTGTTAGTGCCCATTATCTGTCATTAAGTAGTCACATTATCAGCAGTTGGTCTTATTTATGATAGCTGAATAAGAAAAAAAGTAAATCGAAACTGAAAACCATAGGAAAGAAACATTGAAAGGGAATATTCTATATAGGAAAATGATAAGCAATTTGGCATTGAGGATGCATCATGTGAAGTAGTTTTTGACGACCTGACCATTTTCCTGTCAAACATTTAGGTTTTGTTTTGGGAACTATTTGAAGATAATTCGTTTTTCTGAAATAATTAGGCGCAGCCCTTGCACCCAAAAATGAGTTTTAAAAGTTTGTTATTGTTCCGTGTTGACAGACGACAGAGCTGAAACATCCATTAGGCTGTGCCAAGACTATATCTTCTGGTGGAAATGGATGGGGATGGTTTGGTACCTTCATGATCATGTAATTATTTGATTTTAGAATCTTCATTTTTTTTTGGCAGAAAATAAGTTACTCTATTAACATCTTTTAATTTGGTCGTCTAGTATCTTATGCCTATCTGGAGGTTATCTACTGGCTGGTGCAGGTTACCGGTATTTCTTCCTGCATGTTCGTGGTATAGATGTAAGTAGAATCTCCGTATTTTCTTTTAAAGAATGCCATATCATTAGTCCCGTAATTAGTCATCACCAATTTTATTTTTTCAAAAGTATCTTTCGCCTGGATATATTTGGTACTTATTTCGTCATCTTCTTGTCCTGCAACAAAACTTATTTGAGATGAAAATTCTGATTGGTATCAATGAAGATTAGGGGGTAAAGGTGCGCTAGGAAGGGGTAACTGAAGAAAAAACATAGAGCTGCAAATTTTAAAGGGCTTAACCATAGGCAGAAAAGTTAATGAAAATGCTAAGAGGGTGTTAGTATAATCATGTTACCATGGGCATATATCGGAATCTATACACAATACCATTTTTAGCTGGTAATATCATATGAAATCAACACGTGTGTTGATTGTCACTCTTTCCTCAATTTTCAGGTAATTCCGAACTTGGAGTTTTGGGCTAGCTTGCCACATACAATACAGGTACGTACGTGTATAACACAATGAATCCCCTTCTTTCCCTCGATTAGTTGTCGATACGGATGAAAATCTTGAAAATCCCCACCCCGTATTCTTTGCCAGACTTTGTTTCAGTCTTTAGTGCGGAGATTCAGAGGACCATCACAAGGTTACAGGAGCTCTTACTCTCCAGTTAATTTCTGAGCTCTGTCATTTCAAATCTGCATCTGATCCATATAACAAGCAGTCGCCACCTCTGTGTTGTGAAAGTTATCGGGCTTCCACTTACACTTTCTCCTCCTTTTCGACATCGGATCTTTTTTTCATTTCGTCCGAAAAGATTGAATGTTTTTGCTGCAGTGTTAGTCACATATTCTTTTCTAGTGTATTCACATATTCAATTCTCTCTTCTTGTTAGTGATACAACAACAAATATCTCTAATCTCAGGTTTTAGCAGTCATTTTTAAAGGTTACTCCAATTTTTGTGATTATAGATTACTAGTTTCCTTCTAATTAATAATTATTTAATCCAGAAATGTTACAAATAACACCAACCAGAGTAGTAGAGTGAAGTTTGGACAAAACACCAACCACTGGTAATTGAAGTTTTACCAGAAAGCACAACTACTCTCTACCAAAACCCCTTAATTAATAATCACTCATAATTAAACCTGCTTAATTATTAATTAATTAGTAATCATTCATAAGAAAATGATTTAACATCTTTCCACCACAAACCTTATCTTACAAGACACGCAAAATTGAAGGGTTTTTTTTTCATATGTTGTACAATCATTTTACTTGATTTCATTGTTCTTCATTAATTATGTCTGGGCAAAGAAATGATTGAAGAAACTAACTATAAGTAGAAATGTTGTAATAGAGAAAAACTAACAGAAAATATTACATATATTTAATTATTTATCTTAATATTAAGATTCAAGATCTTAATATTTTAATTATTTATTAAATTAAATAGAAGAAAAATTGATTGCTCATCAAGGTTGACCTTCAAGGATACTATTGCTAAAATAAACCTCTATACGTACAAAAGATTAGCTTACATGAATTAACAAAGTCCAGGTTTCCAATTATTAAAAAAAAAAAAAGGGCAGGTACGTAAATAATGCTTTTAGTGCAAATAAAGTCAAAAATGGTCATTATTAAATTAAGGCTAAACAGGTCATTCACAAAATGTAAACCACAACCATCCAAACTATTCCTACTAAAATAGCATTATGATTAGTTTGATACACAAAACCAAGTAATTAACTATATTATATTATTTCTTATTTCTCACTTCACATTTGGCAAATAATTGAAATTAAGAAAAGATTATTTTATATCAGGATTTTCAAACTAGTTGCCTTCTTGTATTTATACTACCACACTCCAAATCTATTACCAAAAAAACCAAAAATTCACACACACACGTGACACACAATTCACAAGGCCGGATGAAGCCGCCGCCACCACCACCACCGTCTTCTTCCTCCTCCGGCGGCGGAGTCCTGCGGAAGAGCCGCGGGCTCTCGCCTTATCTCTTCATTTTGTTGGCGTTTATCCTGTTTGTCACAATTCTCTACGGCGAAGATTTTAGCTGCTTCTTCGGTGGCCAATTTGATTCCAATTACCACCAACTGCATCAAACCTTTTCATCATCATCATCAACAACAACTAGTGAGTAGTTCAAATTACACCTTAATTAATTAATCACACGCGTTTCTCTCCCTCTCTCTACCCCCTGTGTATGCGCGTGCAGGTTTTGCGGTGCGCGCACGTGTCTTACTCGTGCACGTTTGTGTGTGTGTGTTTTCTGTGTTAGAGAAGAAAGGGGAAAATCAAAAGTTGGCTTTTGCCCTCACCGGAGAAGAAGAGGGTGATCGGAAACCAGGCGGCGGCGGCGGCGGCGTCGGTAATTGCGATGTGTTCAGCGGGAGGTGGGTGTGGGACGACGTCGCTCGGCCGTTGTACGAGGAATCGGAGTGTCCGTACATTCAGCCGCAGCTGACGTGTCAAGAGCACGGCCGCCCGGACAAGGACTATCAGCATTGGAGATGGCAGCCTCATGATTGTTCTCTTCCAAGGTTCGCCATTACTCTCTCTCTCTCTATCTCTCTCTCTCTAGAAAGGGAAAAGGAAAAAATATCTAACACAATTCTGCAGGAAATAGAACAAAACGACGTCGTTTAATATATCTTAAATCTTGCCTTGTTACATGTAGTCAACAACCAATATTCTCTCCATTTTTTTTTTCTTCTTTGGGCAAATTAATTAATATTTACATGTATTGCCATTAAATAATATTCTTTTACAAGTTGAATTTTGTATCCACACAAAGATATATGGTTGGATCTAACTATTGAGATTATTTATATAATTTTGTAGTCTCATATACGTGAGTGCAAGATCTTCTTTTGTTTATAAATTGCATATACTAATTATAAATCTTGAATAAATTAAACTATTCCACAAACCAGCTGTCTATAGAAACCATCACATATGTGTATATGTATATATATAATTGGTTACGTCGATGATCGATGATAAAAATGTTTCGGAAAAAAAAAAAAACTGGCTTGACCCCGACAAGATGACGATTTCAGCTTAATTAGTGCCGACTAAAAGTAATTAAAAGATTTAACTATGTAAGAAATAATTAGTTGTTTCACTTATGGCTTTCTTGTATAGTACAATGTGTGAACTATGTCCATGTTAGAATTAGTACTGAACTATGTTTCATCATATCACACGATTTTTTTCTTTTTTATAACAGTTTCAATGCGACATTGATGCTCGAAAGCTTACGAGGAAAGAGAATGATGTTTGTGGGAGACTCTCTCAATCGAGGGCAGTACGTTTCGATGATCTGTCTTCTTCACAGCATCATCCCCGAAAACTCCAAATCCATGGAAACTTTCGGTTCACTAACCGTTTTCTCAGCCAAGGTAACAATTGATTTTTTTTTTTTTGGGCTCGTCAAATGTCAAATTCCAATACTTGTATAATTTAATACCCTTTTCTTGATCAACTGTGTTCAATTCAATTTCAGGATTACAATGCAACAATAGAGTTCTACTGGGCCCCGTTTCTTCTGGAATCCAATTCCGACGACGCGGTTGTACACCGAATAGCCGATCGAATGGTTCGAAAAGGGTCGATAAACAAACACGGGAAACACTGGAAGGGAGTTGATATCATGGTGTTCAATACTTATTTATGGTGGATGACCGGCCTCGAATTCAAGATACTGTAAGAAAAAATCATCTCGTTAACTCTTTTTTTCTTTTTTTTTTTATATATAAATATTTTTCTAAATAAAAGTTGAATTGAATAAACAGGCAAGGATCTTTCGAAGACAAAGAGAAAGATGTAGTGAAATTGCCGACGGAGGAAGCTTATCGTATGGCGATGAAAAGCATGTTGCGATGGGTCAAGAAAAACATGGATCCGGATAAAACACGAGTCTTTTTCACTAGCATGTCACCTTCTCATGGAAAGTAAGCAAAAAGAAAAAAAGAAAAAAACACTAATTATATTGATTACATTAATTATTATTATTATTATTTACAGGAGTATTGAATGGGGAGGCGATGAAAACGGAAACTGCTACAACGAGACGAAGATGATAGATGATTTAACGTACTGGGGTTCGGATTCAAGAAAGAGTATAATGAGTGTGATTGGTCAAGTGTTTGGAAATTCTAAGGTTCCCATTACATTCTTGAATATTACGCAGCTTTCGAGTTATCGAAAAGATGCGCACACTTCGATATATAAGAAGCAGTGGACCCCGTTAACGGACGAACAGTTGGCGAATCCGGTGAGCTATGCGGATTGCGTTCACTGGTGTTTGCCCGGTCTTCAAGATACTTGGAACGAGCTTCTCTATTCGAAACTTTTTTATCCTTGATTAATTGGAAAAAAAAAAAAGGTGAATGTATATTGATGAAACTTAATTAATTGAAAAAGGAAATTACATTGATTTTTTTTTTAAATAGAAAATTTTGAGTTTTAATTTGGATGCAAACCGGAGAAGAGAGTAGTAAGTATTGCAAATGTCATGATTTTTAATGATAGATTGCTAACTGTTGATGACTTAAAAAAGGGTAAATTACGGTCATCCTCTTATGTGAGGTAAAATTACGAGAAAAACATCTCATATTTGGGTAATTACAATCACCCATTAATTAAGAATCTTCTTACACGTTCCAACCTTACGGTGTCAAATTTAGTGGAATCTTCTATATTATGTGAAATATTTACAAGTTAATTGTACTCGTTTTACTCCATTCGGGCTCTAAATTTTCAAGATGATCATAAGATGTGTCTTTTGCCTTGTAAATATCAAATTGTGGTGCATCAGAAATTAATTTTTTGCACAAAACAAGCACAAACTATAACATTCCACGAAATCTTGAAGATCATGTTGAATTTGGCACAATAAGGGTGAACGTGTACGAAGATTCATAGTTGAGGGGCGATTTTTTTAATTACTCAAATATGATGGATTTTTTCGTAAATTGACATTACCATGTGTGACCTTAATTCACCGTTCAAGAAATAAAAAAATCAAAACAACATTTCATAATCGTGAAACATGTGCATAATACATATGCGATTACTTCTATTTAATCTGAAAAAATCGTGAAAACGCCATATAATCTTTTATCTTTGGTGCAAATAGAAACATATATTTATTCAATAAATACAAACCAAACATGGAAAATTATTTACTAATATTATTAAGTTTCCAATGTATAGAGGCAAATTTAAAAACACTAAAAAAAAAATTATTCATCATCAAGAAACAAAAAAATAAAATAAAATAAACGAAAAATGCAGAAAGTAGTAACAGGAGACAAGCTGAAGAAGACATTACTATCACAAAATTATTCTTCTCTCTCCTCTTTTCTCTCACTAGCCTTCATCTTATTCGTCACCGTATTTTACTTCACCGATTTACGATACATCTCTTATGTACAAAACATTGACCATAATACCCCTACTAACCATACAATTATATCACTAATACCCGGTGAGTCATTCATATTTCATATATTTTGTAATGATAATAATGCATGTGTCTTTCTTTCGGAAGTTAGTTTGTTATTTGAATCAAATTAGTGGTTTTATTTGATGAATTGCATATTTTGTAAATTTTGTGGCTGTTAGAAAAGACGAGATCGGAAAAGCTGCCTTTCGCGATCGGAGAAGGCAACGGAGGGTGCGATATATTCACCGGGGAGTGGACACGTGACTATACTAGACCGATTTACGAGGAGTGGGAATGCCCGTTTCTTGAGCCTCAGCTGACGTGTATCGAACATGGCCGCCCGGAGAAAGACTACCGCTATTGGCGGTGGCAGCCTCGCGGCTGTTCTCTTCCAAGGTTTGCATTTTTTATTTTATTTTTTTGACGTATTTTAATTTAATTTAACATAATTATTTGTTGCAGATTCAACGCCACATTAATGCTGGAAACCCTAAGAGGGAAGAAAATGTTGTTCGTCGGCGATTCGCTAAATCGAGGCCAATTTACGTCGTTGGTTTGTCTTCTTCAAGGTAACATCCCTGAAAAAGATAAATCCATGGAAGCTGTGCCTTCTGGTGTAGTTTTTACAGCCAAGGTAGATTTTCTTTAATCAAAAAATTAATAACAAACTATATTATTATTATTAGATTTATTTATTTATTATTAGTGTTATTGTTATTGTTATTATATAGTCACATATATATGGTGCATGCATGTTATATATATTTCAGGATTATAACGCGACGATCGAGTTCTACTGGGCCCCGTTTCTGCTGGAATCGAACGCGGACGATCCATACAAGCACAGGGTAACTGATCGAATTGTACGGAACGGATCGATAGACACGCATGGAGAAAACTGGAGAGGAGCAGACATAATTGTGTTCAACTCCTACATTTGGTGGATATCTGGATTAAGGATATTGTATGTTTCTCAATATATATATATATACATTTTATGAAAATTAATTTAAAAATAATTTCTAGATGTTTTTTTTCCCCTTCAGACGGGGTTCGTTTGAAGATGAAGTGAAAGACCTCGTAGAAATACCGATGGAAGATTCATACCGCATAGCTGTCGGAAGTTTGATAAAATGGATAAACAAGAATGTAGATCCTCAAAAAACAAGAGTCTTTTTCACTAGCATGTCACCTACACATCAAGGGTAATTAACTACTAATCAAAAGATTAGTTTTTTAAATTAAATTAAATTAATCGTTGTTAAAATATATATTGCAGAAGCTATAAGTGGGGAGGTGCTTCGAAAGGAAACTGTTACAACGAAACAAGTATGATAAAAGGTGGTGAATTTTTTGGAGCAGAGAGAAGCTTGATGCAGGTGATATCCGAAGAGCTGATGAATACGGGAAAAGCGGAAGTTCCGATTACGTTTCTGAATATTACGCAGCTTTCGAGTGCGAGAAAAGATGCACACACGTCGATATACAAGAAGCAGTGGGGCCCGTTGACCGATAAGCAGCTTGCGGATCCAATGAGCTATGCTGACTGCATACACTGGTGTTTACCTGGCCTTCAGGATATTTGGAATGAGCTTTTCTTTTCCAAGCTTTTCTATCCATGAAAGAAAAAGAAAAAAAAAAAGAGTACTTTTTCATCTTTATTTATTTTTTCTTTTTTCACGATAGTGAGGTTAACGAATGATTCTTGAACTTACACGAAACAAAGTACGTCGACGTGTATTTATTAAAGTATTTTTAAGGTTAGCACTGTATGTATTGTGTCACTGTTTCATTTTTCAAGGATGTACTGTGATAGTAAAGACGGTTATGAATCCCTTGTTGAATAACGGAGCTGAAAATCCAATATTTAAAAATAGTATCGAGAATAACCGGAAAAGTGGAACACAAAGACCGGATATAATTTGATCGTTATGAACAAATCCAAAAGCTTTGTAGACAGAACCAATCATTAGTTCCCAACCGTGCGGTGAATGAAATTCAATTCATAAATCAGTTAATAAAAGAATCGACTCGAAAATATGCAATTAGAGTTCTTACAATCTTCAGTTGAAAAGTAAAACTTCGAGACAAATAAAACCTGAGATAATGCTTGCCAAACCCGCTCTTGTGAAATTGGGACCAACGCGAGTTGCACGTGAGTGCAGTCTTCAAAACGGTGTCGCTTCCCTCCTCTTCTTTAAGCAAAAGGCACGAAAATAAATCAGTTGTATACTGAAATGTACAAACTAGAGCACATTCCACAAGATATAAATGAGTCATAAGAAAAAATTATAGTTAAGAAGGTATATGTAATTGTCCAAATAAGAGGGAGTTTTTTGTCAATTAACGGGCTCTCCCACTAAAAAATAAATTTAATGTTGTGTGGGCCTATGGCCCACATATCAGATACTAAACTGATAAGAACTTAAAATACGGGCCGACAAATTTATATTCAACTTCTCTCTGAGGGCTTTTGATTCCTTAACCGATGTGGGACGAATACGAAACTCTTTTCTCATTATTGTATGAATATTTTTTAGCTTTGTTTCTTTACTTCACACCCTTTGGTCCAAATTTCGCAATAGAATTTGGTTTAATATTTGGGTAAATTAATTTCACTCACACTTGTATGCCAAAATAAATTTAATATATTTATGGTATTATAATTATAGTCACACCCCTGAAACCATTACCGAAGCTAAAATTGCATGTCCTGGGAATTCATATGCACTATATTTGTTTCACGCGGGACCATTGATGCTAACATAGACGAAAAAATATATAGATTGTATAAAATAATAAGAATTTAAGAAAATTGTAGGAGAGTCATATCACCCCATAGGCCATAATTCTATGTCATCTCCATCATTGCATAAAACTAATAGTTCGTTAGAAATTTAATTGAATAACTTATCGAATGCATTATCCCATTAGGGTTTCTAACAATGTTTCAGGTGTAATTATAATTACCGATACTACAAGAACTTTAAAGTTATTTTATCATACGATCAGGGGTGTAGGCGTAATTTACCCTTAATATTTTTTGACGATATTAATTTTGAAATTTGATTTTCTTTTTTCATTTAAGAAAATTAAAAGACAAAATCATCACTGTCTTTAAGGTATAATAAATAAATGCAACTAATAAAAGCTAATAGTGAAAAAGCACTTATTTTCCTTTGGTTTTTTGCAGACATTAATAAATGCTATCCAACTACTATAGAGTATACCTAACAGGACTAGAGAAGGAGAACGTATGAATTAAAACTCTATTTGCCAACTTGCTACTAAAAGTTGTTCTTACATAAATTGACATTATTATAATATATATAATTAGTTTAATTACCAAGTTGCATGCAATATTTCAGACCAAGCTGTTGGTTTGATTCTCTCGTTTGAACAATATCGTACACTTTCATCACTACTCTCTCTCTCTAGACATTATTTTTTTCAATTTTAAGACTTTTCATGCACAAAGAAAAATCTTTTTCTTTCTATAAATACAATTGAACACAAAATTCAATAATTCATATTTCAAAATTTAAATTAAGAGATTCATTAATTATCGATCAATACCAAATTATCTATAGGTGCAAAAAAACTCAATTTAATTCAGAAAATCTAAAAATCCACTACACTTCATCCATGATCTACAACAAAAGATTATATATATTAATAAAATTAAATTAAAAAAAAAAAAAAAAAAACTGTTCATCAGAAATCAACCAAACAGTATATCATCGATCAAAAGTTAGAGGATGATTTACAGTCATATTTATTTCTTGGCCAAATTTTCAGCGATGTGTGCGAGTGATTGCAGATTGCACTTGACGATTGTGTCGACAAATGCGCACGTTTCTTCCCTTGTGTTCCCCTGCGGCACATCCACCACGTACGATTCCACCACCACCGTCCGGCAGCCTCCGCCTCCGGCGAGCGGCGGCGCTGAATGGAGTGTGGTGACGGACCGGTAGTTGTGGAGGCGGTGGTCGCCGCCGACCACGCTGAAACTCATCACGTGCTCCTCGTCGTCCAGTATGTCGAGCCTCTCCGTGCTGCACGCCGCCGGCAGGCCGGAGACCACACGCACCTCCCGGAGCGTGCCCACGTCGCCGTCGCCGAGGATGACGTCGCAGCTCTTGAGGAACCGCTTGTACTCCTGCGGCTTGTCGAAGCGGCGCACCACCGACCAGACCGCGCCGATGGGGGCGTCGATGGCCTGCACCGCCGCGGAGCAGCACTGGTTCGCCGCCACCGCGTGCGTGTGGTGGTGTTTCATGCTCTCCGGCACCGAGTCATCCCCCGAAACGGCGCAAATCCACGCGGTCTTCGCCTGTTTGATGATCTGGTGCGAACCCACCCCCGCCGCCGCCGTTGCGGCGGCGCAGGCGGAGCCTGCGTGGTTTATGGGATTGATTCTGTGTAGCTGAAGAGAAGAAACCATTTTTTTTTTTCCTGTAAATTTTTTCTTAATTGGTAACGATGAATATATGTGAAAATGGGGATACGAGATATAAAATGCAGGCCGTAGATGGATCGATATATACACACCCCCACACACAAACACACATATATATATATATAAATTTGTGTAAGTATATGTAGAGAGAGAAAGTGAGTATAAATAGAAATTTTTGTCTAGTTGTAATAAAATTTCGATTGGGAAGAAAATTAAAAAGGAAGTTGTAAACACAAAAAAATGCAAGTGGGATTAGCCAGTTGCATAAACATATTTTTGGACGCAGTCATAATTGAAAACTGCCCCCACCACTTGCTATAATTACTTCACCTGCCCTTCTAATTCGTCATCCTAGGTTGTCGTCAATACAGGAGAGTTCATTTTATTAAAGTATCAATAATGTGTAATTACTACAATAGCCCTCTTCTATTGCCGAGTAAACGACTGTCGACTGCCGTACAGGGGGGGGCTGATTTGGTGGGGGTAATTGGTATCACTAAAATATGGAAATAAATGAATTTCTATTATTATTATTCAGAAACCAGCTTTTATCAAGTTTCAAAAATCACATATGAGTTTTATTTAATTATTAATTAATCAAAATAAATTAAATTAAATATGTTGCGACGCTTTCACTTAATAGAATTTGCATATAAATAAAAAATGATTAAAAGTATTGTTTGCTTGCATTTATTGGTTATAGATTGATAGGCATAATAGAATAGAATGGTCTATATGTTGGGTTGCTCGTTTATTAAACAAAATCTAGTGCTTCCTTAAAAAGTGGAATTAAATTAAAGGAACATTTTATTTTTCTTTTTTGTTTAATTAAATAAAATTCCTCTTTTATTTTGAAAAATAAAATAAAAATAAGTTTAGTTGATTATTTATTTAATTCATTGCACCAAAAGGCGAAATCCCTCGCCCCCAGGGCCCCCATTCCTTGGCCCGACAAGGATTGATGGAGGAATGTAAATCACTCAATGGCCCGTTAAGGTAGCGGACCCGGACCTGGTGCCCACAAGGAACCAACTCATTGGAGTTGAAATTCAGCGGCTGCCAGGATTCGATCCTAGGACCTTGCACCAACTTAATACCTCCGGAACCAGTTGAGCTACACCCATGCGGGCATTATTTATTTAATTCATCTTATACATTACAATTGCCTTATTATATTATTAATATATAGTATACAATAAAATTTCAGAGTTAACTAGATCAACTGGATCAGCATTGAATCTATCTAAGAAATTGAGCCGGTGAACTAAAAAAAAAAAGAAAAAAAATACAATTTGATCATCAATCTAGTTAAAAATTAAATTCGACTCTTTCGCTTCAAGTAAAATTTATATTTTAAATTGTTTAGTTGATAATTGTATAGCATGCGTGTATATGAATTATGACAAATAATATGTACTGTTCATTGAATAACGATTCATGATTTATATTTACTAGTAATTGTACCCGTGCGATGCACGGGACAACAAATTGCATTCTTTTGATGTTGTAAGAATATAAACAAACGTTTGATGTATCGTATGATCAAAATTCTATTATACTGGAACATTATTAAGTATACTACACACAAAAAAAAAAGGACATAACTTTACTGTTGAATAATTTTCCAAATGAATTGAATCAGCTAATACCAGTAGATTGAAAATTTGAATCAGGAAAAAAATCATCAATTATGTCTTCCATGTTGAGCTTAAAAGTAATTAGATTTAATAACTAAGTTAACATAATCAAAACTAAACTATCGACAACATGCCATCGTAAAAGGCCATCTATGCATCTTGCATCGGAACTAAGCCCTTCTTCACTGCCTCATTTTAAGGTTGTTTTGCCACTGAAATTAACAATTGGAAAATTAAGAAACAAAAATAAATATAAACAATAAATTAAATATCGCATACAAACAATAAGTCTTGAAGGTCGACTTCCAATAGCTTGTGGCTCCGCCCATTTGTGGTTAATTTTCTCAAATCATCCCTTTCAATAACATGTCCAATAAGATATAAAATGAAATAATTGTTACACATAAAATTTGAAAACTGTGGTATAAATTAATGAAACACATAATTTAACAAAATGAAATTACCTATAAGCCATGATGGAAAAAGATGTAAACTAATTGCCACACATGCAATAGGATGAAGAAGAAGATAAAAAATCTAAAGTCGGGTTACCAAAAGAAGAAGCCTTAGGTAGGGAACAAATAAAATTCAAATGTTGCAGACATTCTTTAAAACGATGTCACAAAATCCGCTAGGGATGAAAATCAGATTTATTTACCCTTTTCTGTAAAAATCGAAAATCAGATTATTATAAATAATATCTAGGAGAATTTGATGAAAATCGATAATAATATTTAAAATAATATTTCGGAGATAAAAATTTGATAAAAAATCGAAAATAATATTTCAAATATTGTTAATGAGATAAAAGTTGATAAAATATGAAAATAATAATTAGAATAATATTTAGGAGATAAAATATGATTAAAATTAAAATTATTATTTAAAATAATATTTAGGAGATAAAAATTTGATAACAATCGAAAATAATATTTATGAGACAATAATCTGATAAAAATCGAAAATAATATTAAGGAGATAAAAAACTAATAAAAACATGATAAAACTCGAAAAAAATATTTAAAATATTATTTAGGAGATATAAATTTGATAAAATTCGAAAATAATATTTAGGAGATAAAAATCTGCTAAAAGTTGAAAATTATATTTAAAATTATAGTTAGGACTTAGGAGATATAAATTTGATAAAATTAAAAAAATATTATTTATAATAATATTTAGGAGATAAAAATAAAAAACAATATTTAGGAGACAAAAATCTGATAAAAATAAAAAATAATATTTAAAATAATATTTAGGGGATACAAATATGATAAAATTCAAAAATAATATTTAAAATAATATAAAGAGATAAAATTATTATAAAAATTGAAAAAAAAAATAACAATTTTGCCATAAGGGTTCCTAAGGGTTGCCCTACCGTTCCTCTCTTATATATATAAAGATATCTAGGAGAATTTGATGCTCATCGATCATCCATATATATAATAATATTTAGGACGAAACATTCTGATAAGAAATTCCTCACATAATATACCGGAGATACACATCGAATTTAGCATTTAGCCTCATAGTTAGGAGA